TGAAGAAGTCACCCAGTTTTACAGTGACAGTGTGGTGAAGAAGTCACCCAGTTTTACATTGGAAAGAATGGGACTGTGTACATGTACATGTTTCAAGTTGGGGCAAAATCTGATGCCAACTAGTGTTTTTTTTTAACAATATGTAGCGTACCAGTGGGGCAATTCATGCACCTACGGTTGAAGTGAACGTATCCCTTCTTGAAGTGCTGGTATTTGAAAAAATCTCATGTCACATTCTGCTGTTGGCTGCAGCTCTTTCGGTGTCCATGGTCAGTGGCATCTCATACAATTATTTTCATGTGAATGGTTGCTTCTTTATTGACAGTTGAAATCACCTACATGTAATATGGACAACCAGTGGTATGACCTAAGGATCTTGCACCAGGGTCTGGCTCTAAATGGTCAACTACACGTAGTTGGTCCATGTAGATGGTATCGTTTGGCTAGTCATTGTCCAACACTATTACTACCAGTATGGTTACTGGTACATTATGTGCAACAAAAACTCAGAAGGTGACTGCCCTTCACCATGTCTTGTTGCATGTACTAGTACATGTATCTGACTCTCATCTTTCAAAAAGGTTTTTGCTCCAGACCGTTTAAGCTCTTTTTAGGGATCGAGTGCACATTTAAACAAGAAATGTGTACCGGTAGAATGTACATGTATAATGTACAATGGACCGGTACACGTACATGATTTTTTCTTAGATTTGAACAGGTCTCTGAACTTTGAGTTGTTTTGTGTTAGTCACAGGTCTGCATAAGTTATTGCCTTCTACCTGAACCAGTTCTGGTAGAGAGCACCGGATGGTGCATAAACATCTCAGAAAAGACTCATACATGTACATGCAATGGAGTGAATTGGAGAGCATGTGTATCGGATGATTGCAGATCGCTATCTTTTGCTGATGGGATAGATCTAGATCCATTTTGGTGGGATAGGAATTTTCCTCAAATCTAACCCTCCAAGATTGCTTGAAGTCCACCAGGGAATTTGAGAGGATTTTTCAGGATTGAGGGAAGTACTGGGGGGCTTTGTCACCTACTCATACTCCTGCGTATACTGTTCTGGAAGATTTCTGCTGGAATAACCAGGGAGTTCAGATAAACATGTACATGTAGGCCTGCAGGT